GTCCATCGTCCATCGTCCATCGTCGATGGTCGATCGTCCGTCGTCGTCGTCGTCGTCGTCGTCGTCGTCGTCGTCGTCGTCGTCGTCGTCGTCGTCGTGGTCGTCGTCGTCGTCATCGTCGTTGTGGTCGTCGTCGTCGTCGTCGTCGATCGTCCATCGTCCATCGTCGTCGTCGATCGTCCATCGTCGATCGTCGATCGTCGATCGTCGATCGTCCGTCGTCCGTCGTCGTCGTCGTCGTCGATCGTCCGTCGTCGTTGTCGTCGTCGTCGACCGTCCGACTCCCGCCGCCCTGTCCTGGGCAGCCGGGGCCGGCGGCCGCCCGCCCGCGCGCGCGCTGGCCGGGCGCTGCCGCGGCCTGCCCGGCGCCGCCCCGGCGCGGCGCGGGGGCGACGCCGTGTCCATGTGGCCGCGGCGAGGGCGATCTGCCCAGATCTCGGCCCGGTCACGGCGCGCGGCTCCCGTGCTGGGCAGCTCGAGCCCAGCACGTCCCAAGGAAGAGATAATAGAGGGGGAGGAGGAGGAGGAGGAGGAGGAGGAGGAGGAGGAGGAGGAGGAGGAGAGCGAGGAAGGAGGAGGAGGAGGAGGAGGAAGGAGAAAGAGGAGTAGGAGGAGGAGGAGGCAGAGCGTGGACGGAGCAGGGGGGAGGAACAGCCCCTCTTGCCTCCGCTCTCCTCCTGCGCGCGCCTCCCCTCCGTGAGCATGACGCCTCTCAGGTTGGTCGTAGCTGTTCTTACCCGGAGTCGCCAGCAGCAGCAGACAGAGTTCTAGCGATCGGCTCCATCTGCGCTGCGATCGCAAAGTGCTGAAACTCCTGTTTCCAGCGAGTGGCCGTTGACGGGAGGGGCAAGGCTGGAGAAGAAGGGGGGAAGCAGAGGAGGGCACTGATAAAGCGAGGTGCGCTCGCGTCATAGCTGACATCATGTCCCTCCCTCCCATCCCTTCCCATTGCGCTGCTGTTTTCTCTGTCCGCGGACGCGTGTCATAGTCGCCTCAGCGCCGCGCACTTTCGCTTTCAACATTTGCAAGAGCTTCACGGATTGAGGGCGTTTCCTTTTCAAAATGTGGCTCTCGCCTGAGCGCCGCGCACATTCGTTCAAAGAAAATGCAAGGATCTCACGGATTTCAATGGTCACCATGCCAAACATTGCATTTTGCGCGGATTCAGGATTATGAGGGCGCAACAGCTACGTTGGTTCGCTGTGTTGATGTCTCTCGTCAAGACGCAACAGTCAGGTTGATCCGTGGCGTTGGGAATCCCGAGCCCGTTTGTTTTGGCATGCTTCAGGGCCTTCAAACGGGTGCCTTTCAACGAGGCAATTCCCCCCAGTGGAAATGAACCGTAGTAGGGGCCTACGAAGAGGGAGCTTGAAGGGACGGTTGATTCCAACATCGTCGATGACTCTTGGGATTCCACTGGTCCTCCTCGTTCTCCTCCGTCACCTCCGCAGACGTTCTACTTACGGCGTCACTTCTCTCCCGACGTCACTGAAGCCGTCGCGCTTTGTGCTGCAGCAGAACAGGTCAGGGCATGCTTCTACACCTGGTCTTAAGTCGGGCCTGTCCCCCTACAGGGGGATTTTCGACGAAAAATAAAAAATACACCACAAATAATCAAAACATACTCCAAACATAGCCTGAGGACTATTTTTGGTGTATTATTTTGACCTTCTTGGGGTATTTTTAAAGTATTTTTCATTTTTCGTCGGAAATCCTCCTGTAGGGGGACACGCCCGACATCAACCTGGTCCCCCTCCTCAAAATCGGCCACAAGCCTTTCCTGGGGCGCGTCCTTGCCAAAACTTCGAAGCGAACCTGGCCGCGGCGACGAGGACACCGCCAGAGGCCGAACTATCCAGGGCCGAGAACGCCCAAAACCTCCGACCTCATCTGTCCTCCTCCTCCTCTCCTCCGACGCTGCGCTTTTGTTGGTCAAGTGGCCCCCCAGGGCTCTCGACCGGACCCTCCCTGATTGGGGGGGGAGGGAGTTCGCCCTGCATTTAAGTCGGGGTTGTCCCCCAACAGGGGGATTCTCGACAAAAAATTAAAAATACATCAAAAATACATCAAAAAGGTAAAACAAATATTCAAAAAATAAACCCCAAACTATTTTTGGACTATTTTTGGGGTATCTTTTATTGTTCGTCGAAAGTCCCCCTGTAGGGGTACAATTCCGACTTAACCCTGCATTCATGTTCGAGGGCCCTGGGGCCTGACAGCGGCCGCCGTCAGAGCCTGTCGGGGCCCCCAGAGCCGTGCGGTGACGAGCCGCACGTGACCTTGGAATCCCCGAGGGCCTCACCTCACCGCGCGGTCCGTCACCACACGGTCTTGGGACCCTGGAAGCCCCCGTCGCCCGAGGCATCGCATCCTCGGAGAACGGCCCGGGTCCCAGAGCCCGCGCTGCGACCCCGAATCCCCACAGACTCACCACGCGGCGTGGTCACAAGACCGCTTTATGGTCCCCGACGGCCGAAACAAAAATTGAGCAAAGGCGCCGGGAACCTCAGCACTTCGAGTCGGAGATCGACTACAGAAGTGATGTACCCTAAAAAGGCTTTTTTTTCGTCAAGTCTACAAACTGAACGTATGATGTTCGTAGATCTACGAAGCTTATACGCATGTCGTTCGCAGATCCGACGAACGAAACGCATCCTGGGGTGAATCAAGTCTGTTGTCGATGTCCAAATCGAACGACAGCCCGCCCGAAGCTGGGGGCCCCGTCCCCGATGCCCCTTCTTCTCCCCCTTCTATTCAGGGGACCAGGGACACACAAATGAATAGACACAAATGCTAGGGTTCTCCGTGCTTTCAAGGTTTTCTGGATGTTCGTCTTCGTCCCCCCCTTCCAATACTTTGTAACATATTTCCCTGGGGATCGCCGATTCCTTGTGTTTGTGTTCTCTGCCCCCTCCCGACTCCAGGCCGACGCGCGCGGCCCCCGGCGCCGCCTTGTAGCCCAGCGTGGCGGCGCCGGCCGCCTGCTCCCCCTCGATGGCGCCCGGGAGGAACCCGCGGCGGCGGCGCGAGAACACCTCCACGAGCTCGCCCTGGAGCGCGTTTTCGCGCGTCGGGTTGAGGTGGCCCCCGAGGATCGTGGGGGAAATGAGGGCCCCTGATGATGACGAGGATGATGAGGGGAAGGTCGAATTTACAAGTCGGCCGAGGGCTAGGGGGGGGTCCTACGGGGGTCCGACCGGCTGTCTGTATGATTACAACAAGGCATGTTTGATCGATTTCCTAGCAAATGGAACGGTATGGATCATCAGTTTACTCATCATGCATGTTCGCCTTCTTCGTTCTTCTCCATCTTCGCATTAATGACCTATCGCGGCTGACCCTGAATCCCCCAACAAAATCCAATATCTTGGGAGTGCATGTTTTGCTTCCGCTGGCTTCCGCCAGCCTTCCGCCGGCTTCCGCCTGCGAAGGCAACCTCGTTTTACTTCCGCTGCCTTCCGCCAGCCTTCCGCCGCCTCCCGCCGGGGAAGAGATGGCGACTCCTCCGATCCTCGAAGGCGAGGCCATTCCTGGAGTGCGCAACGTCTGCTCGATTCTGGCGAGTGTGTGCTCGAGTAGCGTTTCCCTCCCCCCCCCCTCCACCGCCGCCTATCCCGCCCCACACCCCCCCCCCCCCCCCCCCCCCCCCCCCCCCCCCCCCCCCCCCCCCCCTCCCCCCCCCCCCCCCACCACCCACCCCCCCCCCCCCCCCCCCCCCCCCCCCCCCCCCCCCCCCCCACCCCCCCCCCCCCCCCCCCCCCCCCCCCCCCCCCCCCCCCCCCCCCCCCCCCCCCCCCCCCCCCCCCCCCCCCCCCCCCCCCCCCCCCCCCCCCCCCCCCCACCCCCCCCCCCCCCCCCCCCCCCCCCCCCCCCCCCCCCCCCCCCCCCCCCCCCCTCCCCCCCCCCCCCCGCCCCCCCCCCCCCCCCCCTCCGCGCTCCCCCCCCTCCGCCGAGATGTCAGGCAGCGCTGGGCCGAAGAGGCGTGCAAGCGAGTCTCGGCTCTGAGTTCCTCTTCAATGCGTCTCAGACGCGTTGATTTGAAATCAACGAATCAACGTACATGTGGCATGCACCCGTTGTAGATAGTGTACATTGCCGTGTGCCACCATGAAGTTGCACATGCACGCATCATGCATTGAGTTGCGCTTGCATTGCATCTAAAAAAAGGAGGTGGAGGGGAAGGAGGAGGAGGAGAAGGAGGAGAAGGAGGAGGAAAAGGATGAGGAGAGTGAGGAGGAGGAGGAGGAGAGAGGAGGGAGGAGGGAGGAGGCGGCGGGAGGAGGCAGGTGATCGAATCGCAGCGGGGACGACTCGCCTGCAGACCCTGCACTGCGATGTTCAGAGGTCCTATAGGACCTCTGAACATCGCAATTTAGTCATTGTGGCTTGCGCTGGGTCCTTGTGAACCGTGGAATTCGCCCCTTTGTGCTTCCCCCCTGCCTCTGGGTCCGAGAGCACCTGGAAGCCTCCCGTCGCCCCCTCTCAGTGCGCTGGGGCGTCTTGTTGCTTTGCGTGAGATGACACGATGGTCGGGCTCTCCTCGGCCCCCCACCTCCCCCCCCAATTTCACGCGAAGGGGGGCGCTTGAAATCCTGGCTTTCGCTCCGCAGCCGATTTGTGTCGAGGGCCCGCGGATCCATAGAGGCTTCGACCCCGCGGGCCATTTATGGCCGCTTCCGTGGAACCAGATGGGCCGAGCGGCCCACCAGAGCAATGGCAGTCCTTGCAGAGATCCAAGCGCGTCAAGTGGTCAGTGGATGCCGTGTTTGATTTCGCACATGCGATTTGGACAGGTCTCTCCAAGCAGGCCAAAGAAAAAGTTCTTTCGGGCGACTTCAAGGGCCATGTATTTCATTTGGATCGGACATCGGGAGCCGCCCCGAACACGAAAGACCTTGAGAGAAATTTCAGTGTATTGCAAGCTGTACTTAAGAAGTGGCTCGGTGACCTGTCGGAGTTTTTCTGGGCCGACGTGTTCTTGATGGTGGACTCCGTGTTCGCCGACGGGAAGCTGTTCCAGCGCGAGATCGGCAAGGCCGCCGAGGCGGTGCAGACGGCCAAGGACTTGAAGGCGTGCATCGCGTGCTTGAAGAACCTGTGCAGGAACAGCTCGAAATCTAAAGGCCAACGGAGCTTGAACCATGGCAGGGGGGAAGAGGGGAGCGAGGAGGAGGATGAGGAGAAGGAGGAGGATGAGGAGGAGGATGAGGATGAGGAGGAAGAGGAGGAGTAGGAGGAGGAGACGCGACGGAGGACCTCGAGGAGAAGTACCAGCATAAGGATGGCGGGGATGACGGAGAGGACGAGGGGAAGGGGGAGGAGGAGGCCAAGGAGGAGGATGAGGAAGCCGCAGTGGGGCAAGGGGGAGGTTGAGGAAGGAGGAGGTGAGCTCCATGTAGTTGCCTGTCGTTCGCAGGGGGTGCTCGAGGTGGGCGAGCCCGCAGAGCCCACGCGCGGGCCCATGGAAAGAGTAGCATTTCTGCGTCTTGGAATCGGGCTTTGTTTGCAAATAAAGCCCGATACCACAACGAAGAAATCATTGAAACATCCCCCTCCCCCCAAAAAATACAACCGATCGCCGACCGACAGCCCCTTGGGCGAGCAGGGAGAGAGAGAGGAAGAGAGAGAGAGAGAGAGAAAGAAAGACATAGAGAGAGGGAGAGGATGTATATATATATATGTGTAGAGAGAGAGAGAGAGAGAAACAACACAAGAGACAGACAGAGAGAGAGAGAGAGAGAGAGAGATATATAGAACCGAGTCGGCCCGCAGGCAGCGACAAGGTCACCGAGCTCAAGCATCTGTTGATTGTGGCGACGCTGCCTGAGAGCTCAAGTCGGTTCTCTGACGGCGGCGGCATGAATGGCTATTTCCCCAAGGGCAAGGCCGAGCAGCCCGAGCAGCTCGAGGAGGAGGCGGCCATCGCTCTCGATGATCTGGGCGAGGAGCCCGCCGAGCAGGATGCCGATGAGAAAGATGCATCGGATGAGTCTGGCATGTGCACCGAGGAGGAGGACGCGCACAGCGAGGAGGAGGGTGCGTGCAGCGAGGAGGTGAACGGCGAGCTCCCTGCTGGCGACGTCGACGCGGGCAGTCTTGGCGACGTCGACGCGGGCAGTCTTGGCGACGTCGACGCGGGCAGCCTTGGCGACGTCGACGCGGGCAGCCTTGTCGACGACGGCGCGGCCATCGTGCTGTCCGACGACGGCGAGGACATCCACGGGGAGAGCATCGGCGCTCTTTGGGACGAGGAGCTGGTGATCCCTGGCGAAGATGGCATGGCCGAGGCTGGTGGCTTGCTCATGGAGGGCTCCATCGGCGAGAGCTTGTCCAAGATGGAGGCTGACGGCGCGCGGCAGTTGTCGAAGAAGGACTCGGCCGAAGCCGACCCCATGGAGCAGCTGGCGATCTTGGAGAAAGAGGCCGAGAGCCAGCAGCACGACATCGCCGATGGCAACATCGCGGAGGAGCTGGAGATCAATGCCAAGCCCATCGTGCACGCTGATGTGGCGGCCGTCGGCAAGAAGAAGAAGAAGAAGCCAAACAAAGCGGGCCCCAAGAAGAAATCCAAACCGACGAAGACGAAGAATAATAATAAGAAGAAGAAGAAAAATAACATCCCGAAGTGCGAGGCGCATGACATGGATCGGGACGACTCGGACGTCAAGAACACGGACACCCCGCAGAGGAACGAGAAGAAGGCTGCGCTTCGCACGAATGCCGACGACGCCGAGGAGACCCCCGACAAGATGAGCGAGACTGGCCCCACGCAGCCAATCAAGAGAATGAAAAAGAAGAAGCTGACTGAGGAGATGGAGTTCAGCATCCCTGAGATGCCAGACGGGCCAGACGATGTCGCAGCTGCAAGCACATACATGGACTGGAACCTCAAGGAGATGGGCATCCCGACCAAGGCATGGCCCAACCTATCTACTGGCAAGGGCGCCAACTCGTACACCACGACGGTCGACGGCTTCAGGATCTCGGTGATCTTGAACAAGATGGCGTACTTCACGGTCTGCAACAAGCTGACCTACGGCTGGAGCACCTACGGTGGACCCGAGGATACCTCGGGCCAAGTATCGTTTGAACCAGCATTGGCAGATGGGAGGAGGAGGAGGAGGAGGAGGAGGAGGACGAGGAGGAGGAAGAGGAGGAGGAGCAGGAAGAGGAGGAGCAAGGATGAAGGAATGATGGAGAGGATTGCGAGAAAGAGGAAGATGAGGACGAGAAGCAGGATGGGGGAGGAGGACAAGGAGGAGGAGGAGGCGAGGAAATGAAGAGGTCATTGGATCCCAGGGGGCGAAAAGAGGGAGGCGGAGGAAGAAAAAGGAGAAGAGGGAGGCGAGGGGGGAGAGGGAGGACGAGGAGGTCTCATCATCCACCCATTCCCCTTCACCGCCTCCCCCGTCTGATGTGGCCCCCGTCTGATGTGGGCCGTCTGATGTGGCCCTGAAGTGTTGGGCTTCTGCGAGCTCCTCCTCCTCCTCCTCCTCCTCCTCCTCCTCCTCCCCTTTCCTCATCCTCCTCCTCCTCCTCCTCCTCGTCCTCCTCCTCCTCGTCGTCCTCCTCCTCCTCCTCCTCATCCTCCTTCTCCTCCTCCCCGCCCCTCTGTCCCTCCTCGCCGTGCCTCCTTCCTCCCCTCTCCCATTCTCTCCCCGCGCGTCTTTCAGTGCCTCGTCCTTCCACCTCCTCCTTCTCCTACTCGTCTTCTTCATCCCCATCTCCCGCCCGCCATCTCCCTCCTCCTCCTCCTCCTCCTCCTCCTCCTCTTTCCCTTCCACTTCCTCCCGTTTCCAAACGCTCCTCAACATCCTTTTCCCCCTCTTCCTCCTTCTCCTCCTCCTCCTCCTCCTCCTTCTCCTCCCCCTTCCTCTCGTCGTCCTGATCCTCCTTCATTTCCTGTTTGCAACTCTCTCCGAGGCGGCGCTCGAGACGGCCATCGACGGCTGCAAGGGCGGGGACTAGCCTATAGGCACCTATAGGCTTGCGCACGAGACACTCGTGCTGGGGATCGAGCTCGAGAGCTCGCTTCAGACAAAAAAAACAA